TATATATACTGTTTATGGGTGTATGACTTTCGATCACCCTAGAAGCCTCTAGGCAGCACATGATAATTGGAATGAGAATGGATTGAATTGGTTTGGAATTTAAAGTATCTTTTGATATGATTTGATTAATTTTAATTAGTTTAAATTAATTTGATTTGATTTATTTTTTAGTTTTTAATCTGAACCATTTCAATATAATTATATAAAGTTTAAATTAAATCAATTTGTTGGATTTATCTGTTAAATATAAAAATTTTAAAAAGTTGCATAAGAAAAATTTTAAAATATATTTTCATATCACCAACAGAGAAAATATTCAATGTTATAAACTTGTTTATCAATATTATAAGAGAAGGAATCTTCATACATTAGGAGTAAGTTTACCTTTTAATAACTCATGTTTTATATTAAATTTCAATGATCCAACCATTCAATTTAAAGTTTTTAATGCATAGATCAAATTTGCAAATTTTTAAAAATTTTGAAAATTATTTGATACTTCGTTTCATTAATTTGAATCAATTCATAAAATAATTTTATGATTATCCGTCAATTTGAATTAATGAATTAAGTATCAAATGATTTTTAAATTTTCTAAAAATTTGCAAATTTGATCTATGCATTAAGAACCTTAAATTGAACGGTTGGATCGTTGAAATTTAATGTAGAACATAAGTTATTGAACGGAGTAAGTCTAGGTAGACTTACTCCTGAAGTAAAAGGATCTCGGTTAAAATGCTAATTTGGTCCTTTATAATATTTTTTTGTTTCAATTTAGTCCCACTTAAATTTTTGGTTTCAATTTGGTCCCTGATAATTTAAATTACTGCAATGTCGGACTTCCGTCCAAATTATTTAAAGGAAGTTAATTGTTGGTCACGTGGATGCCATATAGATGCATAGGTGGATGTCAAATTTCTTTAATACATCTGGAACCAGAACGTCCCGTACTACTTGCACTCGTGGTATGTTAATTTTGTACCTGAAACGGGTCATTCCAGATGCATTATTTAACACACAACGAGTGCAAGCAGAATGGGTCATTTTGAAACCAGAACGAGCCGTTTTGGTTTTAGAACGGGCTGTTCTGGATTCAGAACGGGCTGTTCCAAGACACCAATCACATACGTATGTTCAACACAATGCAACAATGTAGTTCAAAGATTGAAAACAAACCATTTACACATACACAATTTTTTTTATCTAAAAAATAATATATTTAAAAAAAACTATATTCTAATAAATATATATATATATATATATATATATATTTAAATTATCGTATGTATAAAATATAAATTTTAAGGAGTTATTCATTTATATGATATTTGTCAAACTTTTG